ACACAATAGTGACAATCGCATTATCCTGTGCGATTTTCTGGCAAGCAAATTTTTGCACCACTTTGTTCGTGAATTTTCTTGCAAAATAATGTTTAAAGAAATTTGCGACTAATAAAAATATCGTCACAATATTTTACTCTTTCTGGATTTTTTGAATTCTCACAAACAATTGGATTATTAGACCTATAAATCCACTATTTCTCTCCTTGAATCCTTTCTTGAATTTATCACTCCTTAAATCCTTTGAAAATTCTCTGAGAATTCCTCTGAAAATTTGATTTTGTTTTATTTTTTTTGAAAGTTATATCTGAACTGTCGCCAATAATCGTTGTTAGAAAAATTCACCAACAAAAAGGCGGTGCAAAATGATTTCTGATATATGAATATCATCAATAATTAGACATTCCTCGTTAACCCTTTCTGGGCATATGTATAATGGCGTTCTTTCCTGAATATTTGAAACTATGATTATATTTCACGCCATTTATAGCTTAAGATGTGTAGTCCTATTTTTTTCACTCAAAAATAGGTAAATCAAGAAGAAGATGAAAGTGAAATTTTTCATCCTGTTTATCGTATATAAATTTCGTGGGGTTCGATAGACCCTATTTCGTGCCACGCGCAGGAAGGGTTAATCCTTCCATCATAACCGATGTAATTGATACGTTTATTAAAAAAAATCATTAGAGAGAAGTCGCAGGATAATGCCGGGAGAGATTGCTCGATTGTTGAAGAGGAATGTTCCGCGCTGACGTCGAGCTTATAAAGTTACTTAATGTTAGAAAAATGTTTTTACACGACTGCCACTTTACAATGACATAAGATTACAATTGTTTGTTTCGGTGGCTGACGCGCATGTCTATCGCCGCCGCACAGTATGAAATTTTTACCTAAACTATCAAAAAGAGAACAAAGATGTTTTATCTATCTGTATTTTCTTTTATTTTAAGATTATATGATTTAAATATATATTAAAATATAAAATTTATATATATATATATATATATATATATATATATATATTTGAAAAATATAAATTGCACAATATATTTCGAGTAAAAAAATAAAAAATAATTTACATATAATTTATGTATAATTTTTTTCAAGAAATAGGAAAAGAAGTAAGTTATAAATAAATTCTATTTTTTTCAATCTTTTCAGTGCGAGAAAATATATAAACATATTTTAATTATACATATGCATATTCTGTATTGAAAATAACTGATTTTTATTATTGAATTAATTGCTTTCGTGTATAAATTTTATAATATATTAACTTTTCAATAGAAATGCTCCAACAAATTCGTGTTAAAATTGATATTGATGAGTGAAATATAGAAAAAGATAAATTCCAATCATTTCCGCATTCTAAACCTTAGGATCTTTTTATGTAGATTTATTAAAATAGATATAATAACATTTTAAATTTTTACATCTGCTTTTAAAAGAATGCAAACTATATATACGCACCATAACTATGAAATTAATATATAGAATTAAACATTTTTCGTAAAATCAATATTTAAACGCAATTAGATAAAATATTTTTGTTCTCCCGAATTGGTAAAATTTCACACTGTACGTTGATTCCGTTTTCCGCTGGCGCAAAAGTGTTTTTCTCCATTATTTTCTCCCCTCGCCGCAGAAAACGCGTCGGCGAATTCTGTGCGCGGCAAGTGAGTTCCGCTGCGAATTTGTTTCTCTCGACGGATTAATATACAGCCGAAATGTACCTACCATACGTAAATAAATAAATAAACAAATAAACAAATAAACGAATAAATGGAACAAAGTGAAAAGGCGGAGATTAGGCCGTTTGATATCTTTTCTATTATTTAAAAATAGTTATTATTTTTCATTCAATATAAAAATAGTTAGTATTTTACGTTCAATATAAAAATAGTTAGTATTTTACGTATTTTTCAATATTCGCGTAAAAATGCATGTTCTTGTTAGAAATTAATTTATCAGATAATCACTTTTGTTGCATAATTATTGTTTTTTAATATACATACATACATACATATATATATATATATATATATATATATATAATATTAATCTGTCATATATATTTATTTAAATAAATTAACTTAAAAAAATTATTATTATAATATAATCGACTATTTTCTCTTATCGAATTTTTAGTTGTTTTTGCTATGTATATACCTATCTCTACAAAGTCTAAAGAAAACAATTCATTTTTTATAATTAAAATCTAACATATGTTAGATAATTATTTACAGTGTGTATATCCAAATTAATACGTTAAATAAAGAAATTAAATAATTTATGAATAATTTAGATAATATATAATGAATAATTTAGATAATATTATTTTCTCGTTTCTATATTTTCTAATAAATTTTTTTATTTTAATAAAATTTTTAGTAGAGTCTATGTCAAATTTGAAAAATATAGTATTATTGCACTCACGCTGTCTGTAATAAATAAATAACTGTCAGCCGAATCGTCTGCAGTGCAGCCAACGCGGCGACCTATATTTAGACCAACACGTGAATGAATCTCTCACGTGCCTCTCGTTGTGTTGACTCCCCATTTCTCGTATAAACTAAAATCGATTATTACGCTTGTTACAAAATAGTTTCGGCACGTGTTATGCTATCGCTTTTCTTAATGGTGCGATTTATATTTGTTTTGTTGATAGAAATTCGAAGGAAATTTTATTTTTCCTTCTCTAAGAGAGAAAAAAATTCAAAAATTGTAATAATAATTCATAAATATTTAGATTTCTAAAAATTTTCAGTTAACTTTTTTTTACGATTCTTTTTAAATTCTGAAATGTTTTATGATAAATTCTTTAGTGAACTATTCTTTTATTATGCATATTATGTACATATTTTTAGATTTCTAAAAACTTTTCGATTTTCTTTAGATTTTGCACTTCTTAAACTTTACTTAATAATTTACACATCAGCAAATCTTGAAATTTTTATTGAGTTACCCCATCGGAGATAAGGGTAAACTACAGAACGCGAACATGGAACAGCTGGGTCAGCTATAAATGACAGATTGTTTTTGCAAGCTATGCAAGCTGTTGTGCGTTTAAATTTAGAAATGAGACGAGAAAGGCACGCGACAGACTGCTGTAAGATTAACCAACAGGTAAGAGGATTCTGTTACTGATAAATCTCCCAGGAATCCGAGTCACGCAAACAACAATAATTGAATCAAATTATGTAGGAAGTAGTAAATTTGTCCTTGCGTGCTAAAAGAATAATAAACGATAGAAAACAGCAAACTAATTATTGCAATTAAATTCAGTAAGTTTCTAGACCTTAAGCAAATTTCAAGTAAATCAGAGATTTTCTAGATCCTAAATTTAGCACGTTCTCTATAGATTACGTTATATATATAAATTTTCCTTGACTTATGGAGAACCTCTTCAACTATAAATTAAATTTTCGATCTTCCTGAAATGTTGAGTATATTATAACTCATAAATTTTTCCGGCTTTCTAGAAATTCGTGCTTTTATATATTCCTCGCACTCCAGTTACTCTAACTCCTCTCATATTTGTTGCAAAGCAACTATCTCGGGATCGGGATTCCTTAAATTCTAGGTTCTACAGATCTTAAATTATTTAGCGTTCGTCTATCTAGCGCCTCACGTTCCAGGAATTTTTTAAATCTTACTCTGGTTCACACAAGTCCCTAATTCTTTTCATTCCAGCTACTTCGTACCTAGAGCATCCACAGATCTCCTCTTACTCAGAGCAATCTCAAACGCTCTTCGCATACCATTACTACTACACTTCAATAATTCCTCTACTCTTCGTTCTACAATCTCCATTTGATCCATCATCTCCAATATCTCATGCTCCATTCCAACTATCGTCACCTAATCCAGCTTCATCCCCCCCCCGCTCTCTCTTTCTCTCTCTCTCTCTCTTTCTCTCTCTTCCCCTCTTTCCTTTCCAATTCACTTGTTTGATTGACGCTAATGATCGTACTATTAATTAGTGGCTTACGTGTGCATTTTCTTCATTTCTGCCAAACAAAACTGAAGATAAAGTTTCTATGATTGATATTTCAATTATTAATTTGCCTTTGTTTTAATGTACTGTGCATCTATAATATTTTTATATTGGGTTTAATTTTCTTCTACTTTATTAATTATAATTTTAATTACAATTTTAATCGTCTATATACTATCTTAAGATGACTAAATTTAAAAGCAATATATTTTTACTCTTATATCTCATTTTCTTTCTTTTTATTTCTCTGTTTATGTCCCTCCTTATTTTCTCCGTTGCTAAGAATGACAAAAGTCTGGAAAAACCAGACTTTTTATGCAAAATTTAGAATCCGCGGAATCAAGACACGGAGTAAGCTTCTTAGTCCTCCGTTTCCAACTTTGCGTTCCACTGAGTACTTGATTCTGAGATACATCCCAGCTTCGTCCCTTCTCTTTCTTCGTCCCCCTTCTCCTATTCCCTATATATTCACCATTCATCTGTAACCCTCTCTCTTCGCATCCACGTCAGCACTTTCCGCGACTCTTCGTACCGTAGGATCCAGTCACCGGTAGGATCACCATCTCCAGGCGGTTGATGCTCCGTGGCAACTCCCGCCACCTGGTCCAGGATTCGTTCTCTCTCTCCTGCCCTGTGCGCTACCCCAGCCAGAGGGGGTTTTCGTATCTCGATGCCGCTTCTGCCCCTGCGGCGGTAGCGAGGAAGCCGCCGGCGCGGCCGGCGCGAGTTATTGATTTGACAGGAACGACAGCAGGCGGAATGGCGCAGGAATCGATAAGAGGAAGTGGTGGTCCAAAGCTGCCGGTGGTGCGCTGCGCGGGGGTGCGCGCGCGCAAGAAGAAGGAAGACCGCTGATGTAGCGAGCGCTCTAGAGCGAGCGAACGAGCCGCGGAGGGCTTTGTGGGGGTTGTGGAAGCGAGCAGGTAGAGGGAGAGACATGGAAGAGGATCGGAGGGAGAGGTAGAGTGCGAGGAGGAGGACCGGGAGAGAGGGAGCGGAGAATATTTTCATACTCCAGACTCCCGGCGTAGGTAGAAGATGGCAGCCGAGGCGTGATTCGGTCCGGGCAGTTTCCTCTCTTCTGGCCGCGCGCGCGCGAGAGTAGCAGGGCCGCAATCCGCTCCGGGTTTGAGAGGAAGAAGTCGCCGGAAAATAGTGTGCTCTCCCTTCGTGGCTCGGTCTCCTCGTTGTCGGTCGACGGTGCCCGTGGCTCGAAAAATCCCGGAAGGAAGCTCCCGGAAAATGATTTGAGGAGAAATAGAACGAGGGAGAGAGAAAGAGAGAGAAAGAGAGACTGATTGACTAACGCTAAAAGAAAGACGGTCAGAGAGAGGGAGAGAAAGAGAGAAAGAGAGGCAGAATAAGAGGGATCCGCACCGCTCCGCTCCGCTTCGCTCGGCTACGCTCCGCTCGCGCGACGTGTCCGTCTCGCTGTTTTTCTGTCGTTTTTTTCGTCGCCGTACATATACAATCGCCCACGCGAACGCGCGTATCCCAAAGATCGGTACACGAGATCGCTAGTATACTATCGTCGTATCGAGGATCGTCTCCGTCATCCGCTTCGTACAGCTTCATTGCGCCTCCGATCCGCTCGGCTCCGCGTATCGCGTCTGATGAGCAAAAAGGTGGTAGATGTCGGTGATTATGCGCGTAGTAATGAGTAATCCTATAAAGCCCGTCGGGATCGCAGCAGCCGCCATCGTCGCAGTGTTTCACGAGCGTTATGTAATATGGAATTAAACAATGTTGTTAAGACGTAAACATGTTCTGGCTACACTGTGGACTCTTTGTTCTCGTGATTGCCGTACGTGGATTTATTAGCAGCTTAGCCGACACTACATCCAAGCGAGGTAATGCCTGCCTGCTTACCTGCCTGTTTTAGTTTATCTTTTGTTCGTTTGTTTGTCTGATGTATCAGATAATCAATCCGTGATATCGGTCCAGAGAAATCATAATTCGATAAATAAAATTCGGGTTTTTAATCGGTTCGAATTTTTAACTATGTTTGTCGACAAACTGGATGCGCCTATTTCGGAAAAGATAGCGTGATCCAAGTCGCGTAATTTGACATAAAATAGTAAAAATTATTTATCGGGCTAACTAGGAGTTACGATTCTCTGTACAGATGGCTGCTTGAATGAATGGATGTAAAGCGCTGATCGTTATGGAGGTATTGCACCTACCTGCGCACCTTGCTTAGCCACCCTATCCGCTTAATAGTCTTAAGGAGATAGCACTCACGAAAGGAGAACTGAATTTAAGACATCTACGGGTTCAAGAAAGATCTAAAATTTCTCGACTGTCATTCTATGCAAATAATTGAAATTATCTACATAAAAAACAGCCTTCTAATTTAAATTAATTTTACGTGAGAACTGGTCCATATTATTTATTAACTAACCATGTCTGCCTCATAAATTAGAATAATTTTACTGTAATAATTTCTAGTGTGAACGGATAACAATCTGATTTATAATTAAACGCGAGCGCGAATTATTCATCGAGTTACCACATTTATCTAGATAACTGAGTGCAATCATATCAAGCAGTATATTGTTTATTTAGTTTTGAGAGAACTCATTTTTTAGATTATATAATTAGATAATTAGATAATTTTAATATTTTTATATCACACACATTTCTTTTTTAAATTTTTAAATTAATAAAATATATAGATTCTAAACTTTTCTAGTTAGTTAGTTTAAGTTTTTTGATCGGCAGATTTTTAAACTTTAAGTATCTAAGAGGGTCTTTTAGTGTCGGATACATCAAGTTTTATGTTTTTTGAATCAAAGTTGTTTTGATCCATTGAAATACAGATTCCTCCCGGAATCGAAGAATGTCGTTGCTTTTAACGTCAAAGAACTTATAATGTCGTGTTGGTTGGAACTCTCAGAATTCGAGAAATTCAGAGAATGTAGGATTCAAATAATTTAATCTAGAGATTAGATTAATCTCCAGTGAAGGAAATCCGTGTGGAGTTTACAAATACCAGGATTTAAAGATTAAAAAGCAATTTAAAATTTAATTTAATATTAAAGCATACCAAAGTATTTCACAAAATCAAAGATCCAGGATCTATGCAACTAGATAAAGTTATAGAATGTAAAAAATTTTGATCTCGCGAGAAGTAGAAATTTAAAAAATTGCAAAATCTAATAATTTAAAAATTTAGAAACTTGAAACTTTCAAGAATATTCGAGAATTTCACATTAAAATCTAAGGAACTGAGAGGACCGCTCGATCGAGTCTTCGCCGTTCCCAGGATACTGCAGAGAGCTCGCTAGCTCTCTGCATCCTTGAACAAGGATGAGCACCCCATCGGGTTGCAATCCTCGACCTCTTAAATTATCGAGTTAAATTCTTACACCTTCAACTTATCGAGTTCTTGAACCTTTATGTACTAGATTTTTTAGATCTTCGAATTGTTGAAGAAATTTTCAATTTTCTGCATTTAAGGATATACATTGTTTATTCCTTAGATCCTTTTCAATTTTAACATCCTTAATTTCTTGGATCCATGAATCTTAATATTCTCGAGTCTTTGGATCCTCGAGTCTTTGCGTTAAATCTTAATCTTACAGATCTTTTGAAAAGCATCAGCATCTTAACATGTCAAAAATTATATCTCTTTTTACGTTTCCTTTTATCTTTTAGTTTTTTTATCAATTATCAATATATATCTTTGTAATGCATGTTTTTTCCTTATGTCAACAATTTGTTGTCATGCATGATTTGTTACACATGTACTTTCTTATTACATATATCTTATTACATAATTATTTTCTTATGGTAAAAAAACGTAAATAATGTTAACATAAAATATAATATAAGTGAACTGTAAACGGCGAATAACGAAACGAATATTTTACGATGCAAATAAAGCGTGCGCATTTATATTAAATTATTTAGTTTAAATAGTATATATTTTAATTTGTTTAAAATATATTTAATTTTATGAAAAATTATCCGAATATATAATTCATGCAAATCAACATGTTGATTCGTAAAATCTAAAACCTACGAAAACCCGATATAATATCCGCTGCCACGCGTTGTCGCAAGAAGCATCTTGTTAATTTCGCTAACTCGCACGTAATAAAAACCGCTGACCGCGCGCGAGGCGCTCCTCATAAATTCCGCAGATTCGCGCATTCTGGTATTTGCCGGCGGCGGAAAATGCGAATATAGATCAGCGGAACGACGGTGCTTATGACCCTGCATACGGCACGCCGCGGATTTTCCCGGAACGGCCGCGGGAAAACGCGACGCCGGGCGTCGGAATGCGCGTAATCGTTACGTACATTTCCGTCGAGCTTCAAATCCAGCCGCTGCATTATTCATAATGTTATAGCGTGGAATTACACTCGCTCGCTCGCTCACTTTGCATGTCGCCGTCGCCGCTCATCGCCGCGTAAAACCGCGGAGCATGCGAATATGCGCTTTGCACATGCATCATCGCTCCGCAGCGGCTTATCGCATCGTCGATTTTCCCAACGACAACGACGACGATGATGAGGCGTTCCTTAATAGTCGGATATTTGTGTCGCAATGTTAAAAGGCCGCGCAATTCCCCGCGAAATGTCCCCAAAATTATCGGGTAATTTTATTACTTCCACGAACGGGAGTAGTACAATTTCGATAAATGATAGATTCTTGGAGTTACATATTAACATTGGGCGATTTGATTTTATTTGTATCGTGTGTTTGTGTGAAATGTATTTTTAATTTTTTTTCAATTTTATTTGTTCCTATAAAATATTTTTAAGAAACGTGGCATTTCAATATAACAGCCATAAAATGTTTATAACACCGGTTCTTAAAGACCGGTTTCAAAAATATATAGCTTGTTGTGAGTCATTAATATATTTTGATGACACAGTTTTAACGCTCTTCTTACATGATTGAAAGAAAAATATCGACTGAAAAAACAACATCTTTTACAACTTCCTTGGGCCATGTTTAAATCTACTTAAAATTAAAAAATGATAATGAGGAAATATAATCCTACTTTTAAGTTAATTTCAGCAAACTTACTTTGATAAAAATTTTCATTTGAAGCTTAGTTATAAAGTCAGCTAACGCGAAAACTGCACAAGCTGCGTAGCAAGATGGCGCCTAATCATATTTTCGTTAAGGAAAGATCGATATCAAATTGTTCGGAGGAGCTGTAAACGCGACATACTTCCGGGGAGATACCCGTATATGTTTACTAGATATTTCCATAATCGTAAAATGTGCTCAAGCTATAGCTATAAGCTCCAATATAAGCATTTATGAAACATTCACAAGTAGTTGCATATTAAATGATATTTATCTCTAGTCGTTGCAAAATACATTTGTAAATGATATCATCCTGTAATGCATTCTCTTGCCGCCAGTTTGCAGACACAAAGCGCAATATATATAAATAAATGAAATTACAAAAATAATCGCAATTAAAGAAATATTGAAAATTCCCAATTAAATTATCTTAAATATATCAAGCATTTTAAATAAAAGCTATTTTTACAATAATTAATTATAGTTAATTATAGTTAAATGTATCCATACTTTTAAGAATCGATCAAACTCTTTTGAAAGAGAGAAAATGACATTGGCTATAACGAAGGGGTTATAGCCGACGAATATTTTGTTTACCCGTTATACGCGAAATCAATCAACTTGTATCCTGCAATTAATCAAGGACGTAAAACGGGAAGACGGCTTGTCGACGAGTTTCCTCGAGCAAGACCCACGAGATTGAAATGGCAGCGTGCCAGTTCTAACTTATTGGCTTTTAATACGTGAATCCGCGGCCGATTTTGCAGCTCAACGAAATAGAACGACAGCTCTTCGAAAAATCGAAATAATACGCACGGATTTAATGCGAAATTTATCGCCATTCGAGATGACAAGATTTCAGAAGTTGAAGATTAAATGCTTTAGATTCAAGAACTTTATCGCACAGAATAATTCAAACAAATGATTGCTCCCTTTTATGATAGATAGAAGATATATATAATATTTTGTGTAATAACAGAAATAATGATATTCATAATTGATGATGATTAGTGCAATATTAGTAAATACTAAAGAATAATAGAAATTCTAAGCAAGCCGATAAATGATAGTAAAAATATAGTCTTTACAACGATTAAATGCTCATTCATTCGAGCCTACTTGCTTACGTATCTACTCGTGTAACTCATTTTCTTAGTGTGAATATATTTTCCTGTATTATTATCTACGATTTACGTTCGCCTTTGGTTTGCTCTTGTAAACTTCACTCGTAATATTTTAATATTTCTTGTTTAATAATGTAATATATAATTTAGTATATCATCTTTTAATATATTTAATGTATGTTTTTCTTAATATTTTTTCTTAATATTTTTTCAAATATGTAAGATTTATGAAATGAAGTAAAAAAGAGAACAAAAGAAGAGAAACTTAATTATCAATAATGTGACATTTTGTCGATTTGTAAAGAATGCCCCAGATCTATCGAGTCATCTTTCACCTATGTGTTCTTTGACCAATCTGGAATCGATCTTTTCTTAAAGATTGAACATCTTAAAGAACGCGCGTGTGTATATGTGTGTGTGTGTGTGTGTGTTATATATAGCTTTCCCATTTATTAAGGAAAAATCAGTTCCACAAATTGATGAAAGAACTTTCAGATAAAAGACGACTTGGTTTGGTCTGGGACATTCTGTATTTTTGTGAAATGGTTTTCACCGAAATGGGGATAAGTAGGTTCTATAGAAAATGTAGGACAATTTATTTTTCAAATTTCATTCTCTATTGCTATTCTTTCTGGTAGACAGAACGCGATTAATGGAATCGCACACAAATAGTGTTAATATTC